TTGTTAGTACATTTTTCAGAAAGCGTGGTGTTTTAATAATTATTTTAAATTTTTTTTTTTTTTTAATGTCGTGATATGCATATTATTTATATAGCTCATAAAAGAAAAAAAAAATTAAAATTCGGGGCTCCCGGTTGTGACCGTTCTGGGTAGAGTTTCGAAATGAAACCTGACTAACTTTTGTTAGAAAGCTATAAGGAATAAGCCAGCTAACTTTCAGGCTTATATTTACAGCGAAAGTTGGATAATATAGCTCACATAAGAAAAAATGAAATGGGGCCCCCAGCCCTAGAGGTATGGATATTATGAGTTCATTACCTTTCGGTATTTGAATATGGATAATCAAATGTATGTGTATTAAGTTTGGTCAAGATCCATCAATTCATGTAGCACAGTATATGTTGATCGTTTTATTTATAAAGCTCATATAGAAAACAAACGACATTTTGGGGCCCCGGCCCCAAACGTTATAGATTTTGGAAATGGCTTAACTTTTTTATGTATATTTGAATATTGATAATCAAGAGTATGTGTACTAAGTTTGGTCAAGATCCATCTATTCATTTAGGAGTACTAAACCTATTGATATTTATTAGCTTATATTTGAAAAAAATGAAATGGGGACCCTGCCCAAGAGAGATGGATCTAATGTTTTAAGTACCCTTCGTTATTTGAGAAGAAACAACCAGACACTGGAGTCCTTTAAAACCGATTTAAAGACACATCTATTTCGCAAACACCTTCTGGGATGATTGTCCACCTTATTTTCCAGTTAATGCATAATGGCTGTGTTGCTTATGGTTGAAATGGCTAGAAAGACTTTGCCATTGTATGCTTGTAATTAGTTTTTGTAGTGTTGCGTTTGTTTTAAATGTGGTGAATTATAGATTTGTTTTTTGTTGACTTTGTACCGCGCTTCGAGCCTTTGGGGATGAAGCGTGTGTTTTTGAAATGAACTTTATTATTATTATTATTATTATCACTTTAGTTATATAGCTCATATAGGAAAAATGACATTTAGGGCCACCGGCCCCAAAAGGTATAGAGTTTTAAAAAGAGATATTCCAAACTTTTGTAAGTAAGCCGTAAGCAATAAGCTTGCCAAATTTCAGGCTTCTATCTACAAGGGAAGTGGGAGAATTAGTGATGAGTGAGTGAGTGAGGGCTTTGCCTTTTATTAGTATAGATAAGAAAAGAAGAAATGGGGCCCCCGACCCCACAGATATGAATATTATGAGTTTAGTACCCTTATTTGAATATTGATAATCAAGAGTATGTGTATTAAGTTTGGTCAACATCCAGCTATTCATGTCGGAGTACTAAGCATATTGATATTTATAAGGCTCATATAAGGAAAGTTGGATAATATAGCTCATATAAGAAAAAATGAAATGGGCCCCCGGCCCCAGAGGGATTGATATTATGTGTTAATTACCCTTCGGTATTTGAATATGGATAATCAAATGTATGTGTATTAAGTTTGGTCAAGATCCATCAATTCATGTAGCACAGTATATGTTGATCATTTTATTTATAAAGCTCATATAGAAAACAAACGACATTTTGGGGCCCCGGCCCCAAACGTTATAGATTTTGGAAATGGCTTAACTTTTTTATGTATATTTGAATATTGATAATCAAGAGTATGTGTACTAAGTTTGGTCAAGATCCATCTATTCAAGTCGGAGTACTAAGCATATTGATATTTATAATGTTTATATAAGAAAAAATGGAATGGGCCCCCGGCCCCAGAGATATGGATATGATGCGTTAATTACCCTTCGGTATTTGAATATGGATAATCAAGAGTATGTGTATTAAGTTTGGTCAAGATCCATCAATTCATGTAGCAGTATATGTTGATATTTTTATTTATATAGCTCACATAGAAAACAAACAACATTTTGGCCCCCGGCCTCAAACGGTATAGATTTTGGAAATGAAAAATGCTTAACTTGTGTATGTGAGCTATAGGAAATAATCCATGTCAAATTTCAGGCTTCTATCTACAGGGAAGTTGGAGAATTAGTGATGAGTGAGTGAGTGAGTGAGTGAGGGCTTTGCCTTTTATTAGTATAGATATTCTGAGAAATAGGGCTCTGCTCTCCATTGATACCAAATACGGTGTGGTTTGGCCAATCTAAGTATAAGAAGCGGTAAAAACTAAGAATATTAAAAATGAATTTTTTACCCATTAATAGGATTTAAAAACTATATTATTTTATACAATCTTTAATCTTTTAATGATTCAGTCTTATTGATTTCAATTTAAATAAAGAAAAGTTTTTTGAAGACACATATAATATATCAAAACCCAGAAATACTCAAAATTAATATTTTCCCCGATTCGTCACCAGTCCCTTAACTTTTGAGCAAGATTTTCATATTTCGACTACTGTATTTTACATGCTACCTTTCTGTGTTATATTTTGGACAGTGCTCTGACTGTTGTTTTTGAACTGTCATCAGTAATTTTTTTTTTTTTTTTTTTTTCTTGAAAATGCGAAAAAAACGAAGGTTTTTTTTCAAGATTATTATATCATCCCACACGGCGTGCAAAAATCTAAAATTTTTTTTTTTTTTTTTTTTTCTTTTTCTTAGTTATTTTTTTTTTTTTTTTTTTTTTTTGTCTTGAACATGCGACAAAATCGAAGGTTTTTTTTCAAGATTATTATATCATGCCACACGGCGTGCAAAAATCTAAACGGCCAAGCGGCTGTCAGTAGTGAAAGGAAAAAAAAAAGAAAATACGTGGCTCACTAAAATGACTACCAGAATACATGCTCCGATAGGAAGAAA